AATTACATGATTATAAATTGTATTAAGTGCTATGACAGACCAGGCATGGTGGCTCACGCCTGTAATCCCAGCACTTTGGAAGGCCAAGGTGGACGGATCACATGAGACCAGGAGTTCAAGACCAGCTTGGCCAATATGGTGAAACCCCCTCTCTACTAAAAATACAAAAATGAGCCTGGCGTGGTGGTGCACACCTGTAATCCCAGCTACTCTGGTGGCTGAGGCACAAGAATCACTTAAAACCGTGAGGCAGAAGTTGCAGTGAGCCAAGATCACACTACTGCACTCCAGCCTGGGTGATAGGGTAAGAACTTGTCTCAAGAAAAAAAACAAAAAACAAAAAAACGACAGAAAAAGGCCATAGATCTATTTATTTTTATCTACCTTTTTTTTTTTTTTTTTTTTTTTTTTTTTTGAGACAGAGTCTCACTGTCATCCAGGCTGAAGTGCAGCAGCATAATCTCAGCTCACTGCAAACTCCGCCTCCCGGGTTCAAGCAATTCTCCCTGCCCCAGGCTTCCGAGTAGCTGGGGTTGCAGGTGCCTGCCATTACGCCTGGCTAATTTTAATATTTTTAGTAGAGACAGGGTTTCGCCATGTTGGCCAGGCTGGTCTTGAACCCCTGACCTCAGATGATCTGCCCTCCTCAGCCTCCCAAAGTGCTGGGATTATAGGTGTGAGCCACGGCACCTGGCCCATAGACCTAATTTAGAAGGAGGATTTCTCGGCCGGGCGCGGTGGCTCAAGCCTGTAATCCCAGCACTTTGGGAGGCCAAGATGGGCAGATCACGAGGTCAGGAGATCGAGACCATCCTGGCTAACATGGTGAAACCCTGTCTCTACTTAAAAAAAAAAAAAAAAAAACTAGCCGGGCGAGATGGTGAGCGCCTGTAGTCCCAGCTACTCGGGAGGCTGAGGCAGGAAAATGGCATAAACCCGGGAGGCGGAGCTTGCAGTGAGCTGAGATCCAGCCACTGCACTCCAGCCTGGACTCCAGCCTGGGCGACAGAGTGAGACTCTGTCTCAAAAAAAAAAAAAAAAAAGAGGAGGAGGATTTCTCTAAGGAAATAACACTGGAGCTGAGGCTTAAAGGATGATTTACCAGGTGAAAAATGTGTGTGAACATCTCAAGCCTCGGGGCTGTCTACAGGCCCTGAGGCAGGGCAAACTGTGAGTTCAAGGCACCAGGAAAAGTCTCAGTCGGTCAATAAATACTTATTGAATTACATGCCGCACACTGTCCTAGACCCCCTGGGATACAGTTATGAAAAAGATTTTACATTCCAGTTGCACAAAGAGAGTAAATGCCTAAACAGAAAGAATTTCAGAGAGTAAGAGTGCTGACAGGGGTTACTTTAGACAGGGTAGTCAGGAAGGACTCTTGGGGGAAGTGATATTTCAGCAGAGAGCTGAAGGAGATGAGGAAGGGAGCCTTGTGAACAGCATGGGGAAGAACATTCCAGGCAAAGAAAATGGCAACAGCAAAGGCCTTGAGGCAGAAGTACACTTGACGGGTTCTGGAAATGGCAGAGTCTGATATGAATGGATCCCAGTGATTGAGGAAAGGGTTGCAACAGATCAGATCAGATCAGAGAAGTGGCAGGGGCCAGACTATCATTTGGAGGCCCTTATGGGTCATGGTCGGAATTTTTTTTTTTTTTTTTCTGGGTGACATGAAAGCTATTTGAGGGTTCTGAGTCAAGGAGTGACTTTCATTTTAACAACAGGACCCCCCTGGCTTCTGGGCAGAGAATAGGGTGTTTGGGTGTATTCCTTTGTTTTCCCACTGCTATAAATAACTGCTCAAGACTGGGTAATTTACGAAGAAAAGAGGTTTAATTGACTCACAGTTCAGCTTGGCTGGGGAGGCCTCAGGAAACTTACAATCACGGCAGAAGGCAAAGGAGAAAAAAAAGTACCTTCTTCACAAGCGAAGCGGGGAAGAGCCCCTTATAGAACCCTCAGAGCCCCTTATAAAACCATCAGATCTCGTGAGAACTCACTCCCTATCACAAGAACAGCCTGGGGAAACCACCCCCATGATTCAATTATCTCCACCTGCTCTCTCCTTTGACACATCGGGATTATGGACGTTACAATTCAAGATGTTGGGTGGGGACACAGCCGAATCATATCAGTGGGCTAAGGATAGAAGCAGAGAGCCCAGTGAGGAGGAAATCTCTAGTCCAGGCAAGAGATGGTGGTGATTAGATCTCGGTAATAGCAATGGAGATGGTGAAAAGTGGTCAAATTCTGGATCTACTTCAAGAATAGAGCCGACGTGATTTGTTGACGGATTGTGCGGTGGTTTTAAAATATGTCTGCAAATTCTTTGACACTTTGAAAAATAAAGCCTATTTCCCCAATCTTTGAGTGCAGGCTCTCCTTAACGACTGGCTTCCAACGAACAGAAGTAATGGTGGGGAACTTCGGGATTAGGTCATAAAAAGCATTGCTGTTTCTTACTTGCCCATTCCCTTCAACTGATTTCTTAAAGGAAGCCAGCCACCATACGGCAAGGACACTCAAGCAATCCATGAAGAGATCCATATAAGAGAAGAGCTGAAATTTCCTGCCAGCAACCAGCACCAGGTGAGTGAACCATGGTGAAGTGGATCCTCCAGCCGCAGTTAAATCTCCAGATGACTGCAGCTCCAGCCAACATCTTGACTGCAACCTCATAAAACACCGAGCAGAAATCATCCAAATAAGCTGCTCCCTGATTCCTGAGCCACAAAAACTACAGTAGATAAGAAATATTTATTGTTTTTTCTTTTCTGAGACAGAGTCTCGCTGTTGCCCAGGCTGGAGTGCAGTGGTGCGATCTCAGCCCACCACAACCTCCACCTCCTGGATTCAAGTGTTTCTCCTGCCTCAGCCTCCCGAGTAGCTGGGACTACAGGCATGCGTCACCATGTCCGGCTAATTTTTGTATTTTTAGCAGAGATGGGGTTTCACTGTGTTGGCCAGGCTGGTCTTGAACTCGTGACCTGGTAATCCGCCTGCCTCAGCCTCCCAAAGTGCTGGGATTATAGGCGTGAGCCACTGCTCCTGGCCTAAGAAATGTTTATTCTTTTAAACTGCTAAGTTTGGGGTAATTTGTTACAGAGCATTAGAAAACTAATGGTGATTAGGTTTGGGGGTGAGAGAGAGGAATCAAGAATGACTCAGGCAGGAGCAGTGGCTTGCACCTGTAATCCCAGCACTTTGCAAGGGCAAGGTGGGAGGATTGCTTGAGGCTAGGAGTTTGATAGTAGGATACTAGCCTGGCCAACATAGCAAGGCCTTGTCACTTAAAGGAAAGAAAAGAAAAGAAAATTGTTTTTTATTAGCCAGGTGTGGTGGCACGCATCTGTTGTCCCAGCTACCCAGGAGGCTGAGTGGGAGGATCACTTGAGCCCAGGAGATTGAGGCTGCAATGAGTCATGATCGTGCCACTGCACTCCAGCCTGCGTGACAGAGCGAGACCTAAAAAATAAAAATAAAAATAAAACTCCAAAACTCTGGGCCTGCAGAATTGAAAGATGGAGTGACAATTTACTGAAAAGGAAAGCACTGGAGCGTGCACGAGGTGGGAGGGAATCAGTAGTTTCGTTTTGGGTGTGTTAAGTTTGAGATGTCGATGACACAGCTGAAGGGAGAGGTTAAGTTGTCCTTCACTGCAAGGAGACCTGGGAAATGAATCCCCCGAGTCTGCAGTCCAGGGGAAAGTTTGAGGCGAGGCATATACATTGATAAGTCAACAGTATTGTAGATTGCCATGAACACTATGGGACTGCATGATAGCATCTCGTGAGTGAGTGTAGCTAGCAAGGGTTGGGACGCCCCATATTTTAGACGCTAGAAAAAGGAAGATCCACTGAAGATTGAGGAGAACCAGCCAGTGAAAAAGGAAGGAGGAAAAGCAAGAGGGAATTTGCCAATAAAGGAGGAAGGGATCAGGTGAATTAAATGGGTAGAATTGCTGTTCTCAAATGTTAGTGCACATCAGAGTCACCAGGAAGGCTTGTTAAAACACAGATTGCCAGGCCAGGTGCAGTGGCTTGCCTGTAATCCCAGGACTTTGGGAGGCCAAGGTGGGCGGATCACCTGAGGTCAGGAGTTCAAGACCAGCCTGGCCAACATGGTGAAACCCTGTCTCTACTAAAAATACAAAAATTAGCTGGGCATGATGGTGGGCGCCTGTAATCCTAGTTACTCAGGAGGCTGAGGCGGGAGAATCGCTTGAACCCGGGAGGTGGAGGTTGCAGTGAGCTGAGATTGTGCCATTGCACTCCAGCCTGGGTGACAAAGTGAGACTCAAAAAAAAAAAAAAAAAAACCACCCACACACACAGATTGCCAGGCCCCGCCCCCAGAGTTTCTGATTGAGCAGGTGTATTCGCTTCCCAAGACTGTTGTATAAATTACTACAAACTTAGTGGCTTAAAGCAACAAATATACATATATATATAATCTCACAGTTCTGGATGCCAAAAGTCCAAAATTAAGGTGTCAGCACGCCATTTCCTTCAAAGGCTCAGAGGAGAATCCTTCCTTGACTCTTCAGTTTCTGGTAGCTCCTGGTGTTCCTCCCCTCCCACCCCCCGCAGGGTCTTGCTCTGTCATCCAGGCTGGAGTGCAGTGGTGCAATCACGGCTCACTGCAACTTCGATCTCCCAGGCTCAAGCAATCCTCCCACCTCAGCCTCCTGAGTAGGTGGGACTGTAGGCACATACCAAAGCCCAGATAATTTTTTTGTTAATTTTTGTAGACAGGGTCTCACTATATTGCCCAGGCTGGTTTTGAACTCCTAGGCTCATGTGATCCTCCTGCCTCGGCCTCCCAAAGTGCTGGGATTACAGGCATGAGCCGCCTCACCTGGCCCATAATAATGTTTTGATATATATAGTGTATGCAGTAACAGGTATTCTATTTGTAGTTGTTAGGATGTTTAAGGTTACCTGCTTTAACAAACAACCCTAAAATCTTAGTAGCTTAATACAATAGGTTCTTACTTACATAAAGTCCAAAATGCTTTATGTAAGTCCAAGGATAATTCTCAGCTTCCTGCAGCCAGTGAGTGAAGGGAGAAAGAGTAAGGATTATGGAGGACATTCTAGACTGAGTCTGGAAATGAGCTATGTCCCTTCTGCACCCATTCCATTGGCCCAAGACCAGTCACATGACCTCAACTTCACTGCAAGGAGACCTGGGAAATGAAGTCCTCCTGTGTGCCTAGGAAAAAAGAAACCAAGTTGGTGAGCATCGACGCTGCAGTGAGTCGTGATTGTACCACTGCACTCTGTCACCTACCCTTTGACTTCTGGTTACTCATGAACTCATCTCTGAAGAAGGATCAGTGGGTGGGAAGAAGGGATTGGTGTATTAGTGTCCTACGGCTGAAATAGCAAATTACCACAGACTTACTACTTAGAACGACAGAAATTTATTCTCGCATAGTTCTGTAGGACAGAAGTCCAAAATCAAGGTGTCACCAGGGCCACGCTCCTTCCAGAGGCTCTGAGAGAAAATCAGTTCTTTGCATCTTCCAGCTCCTGGTGACTCCAGGAGTTCCTCGGCTTGTAGCTGCAGAACTCCAATCTCTGTGTCTACCATCACATGGTGCTCTCCTCTTCTGTGTCTTCTCTATGTGTTTCTTAGGACACTTGTCAGCCGGGCGCGGTGGCTCATGCCTGTAATCCCAGAACTTTGGGAAGCCGAAGTGGGTGGATCACAAGGTCAGGAGTTCCAGATCAGCCTGGCCAAGATGGTGAAACCCCATCTCTACTAAAAATACAAAAATTAGCTGGGTGTGCACTCCCAGCTACTCGGGAGACTGAGGCAGAGAACTGCTTGAACCTGGGAGGCAGAGGTTGCAGTGAGCCAAGACTGTGCCACGGCATTCCAGCCTGGGTGACAGACTTGTCTCAAAAAAAAAAAAAAAAAAGGACACTTGTCATCAGATTTAGGGGCCACACAGATAATTCAGGATCTTGGGATCCTGAATGTAATTACACCCACAAAACTCCTTTTTTCCAAATAAGGTCACCACAGGTTCTGAGGATTAGGACGTAGACTATCCTTTTGCAGAACGCCACGCAACCCACTACAATCAGCTATAATTATTTTTGTAGAAAACGATGGGAACCTGACTTAGGATGGTGGCCTTGGAGAGAAGTGGGTGGGTTTGCAATGTACTTCAGTGGTAGAGCAGAGGTGTTGGTGGTGGTTAGGAACAGAAGCTGAGGGGCTGGGCACGGTGGCTCACACCTGTAATGTCAGCACTTTGGGAAGCCGAGGCAGGTGGATCACTTGAGGTCAGGAGTTCAAGACCAGCCTGGCCAACATGGCGAAACCCTATCTCTACTAAAAACACAAAAATCAGTCAGGTGTGGTGGTGCACGCCTGTAATCCCAGCTACTCGGGAGGCTGAGACGGGAGAATCGCTTGAACCCGGGAGGCGGAGGTTGCAGTGAGCCACAATTGCACCACTGCACTCCAGTCTGGGCAACAAAGTGAGACTCCATCTCAAAACAAACAACAAAAAAACCCGGGTGTGGTGGCTCATGCCTGTAATCCCAGCACTTGGGGAGGCCGAGGTAAGCAGATCACTTGAGGTCAGGAGTTCGAGGTCAGCCTCGGGAGTCTGAGGCAGAAGATCACTTGAACCCAGGAGGAGGAGGTTGCAGTGAGCCAACTGCACCACTGTACTCCAGCCTGGGTGAAGAGCAAGACTCTGTCTCAACAACTGAAAAAATAAAATCTGAGGGATGAGTGGGGTGGTGACTCAGTGTTTGGATACAGAACTGTGTGGCTCAGGTCTGGGTTTCAAAAAGACCCCTCTGGGGCTCTGTCGGGGATAGACTGGAGGGAGAGACTGGAAGCCAGGGATAAGCCTAGAGTCAGGGTCCAGGTAGGAGAGCAGGAGCCCGGAGCCTACCTGAGCCCTCAGGACAGAGAAGAGGGGTGGAGTGGAGACTCAGGAGGCAGGAGGGGTCTGGTTTAGAGACTGATGCGCTGTTGGGGGAGAGGGGACAAGATGGGGCTTTGACCCCATGACTAGATAGATGGTGGGGCTGCCTCAGATGAGGAAACCAGGTGAGAGAATTTGGGGACATCAGGGGAAACTGCAGAGGCCACTGGGTGTGCACTGCAATCAGGCACTGCAGACCCAGATCTGACTGTCAGGATCCCAGGCTCAGTGCCTCCTCCTCTGGGGCCTCTGCTCCTTGGGCCCCACTGCAGAGGCAGGAAGTACCGCCTGATGCTCAGCTTCCGCTGGGGGTGTTGGCACGGCCCAGCGCCCTCTCCACTCCCAGGGACCTTCCCACCTCGAGCCTGTAGCACTTTCACTTCCCCAGGTACCCAGCCCCTGCCCCCAGCACCTGGGTGCTCCCTGGCCCAGAACAGGCTGCAGACTCTGAGAGGTGCAAAGACAAGTAGGGAAGAGGGAGACAGAGAAAGGAAGACAGGCTGGGCACAGTGGCTCACGCCCATAATCCCAGAACTTTAGGAGGCCAAGGCAGGAGAATCACTTGAGCTCAGAAATTTGAGACCAGCCTGGCAACACAGTGAGACTCCTATCTCTACAATAAATGAAGAAAATTAGCCAGGCATGGTGGTGTGCACCTGTAGTCCCAGCCACTCGGGAGGCTGAGGTGCAAGGATTGCTTGAGCCTGGGAATATCGGGGCTGCAGTGAGCTATGATTGCACTACTGCATTCCAGCCTGGGTAACCGTCTCAAAAACAACAACAACAAAAAAAGAGATGAAGAGAGAAAGGAGGAAGGGACCCAAAGAAGGGACCAGAAACACAGAGAAAGGCCAGGCACAGTGGCTCACGCCTGTAATCCCAGCACTTTGGGAGGCCAAGGCAGGAGGATCACTTGAGTCCAGGAGTTCCAGACCAGCCTGGGCAACCTAGTGAGACCCTGTCTCTGTTTTTTCAAATTAAATATAAAAAATAAAACACTCCCATTCCATAGCAAGACCCCATTTCTACAAAAAATACAAAAATGAGCCAGGCGTGGTAGTGTACACCTGTAATCCCAGCTACTCGAAAGGCTCAGGTGGGAGGATTGCTTGAGCCCAGACTACAGGGAGTTATTTGCCCCACTGTAGTCCAGCCTGGGTCAAAAGTGAGACCGCCTCAAAAAGAAACAAATACATAAATAAAATAAAGAAACACAGAGAGAGGGAGAATAGAGACCCCAGGGGGCAGGAGGAGAGAGACCCAGAGGAGGCAGAGACTTTGCTGAGAGAAGGGGACAGAGATGGGGAGTGGCAGGAAGGTGGGGACAAAGACCCAGAGAGGAGGAACAAGAGACCCAGGGCGGGGAAGGGGAGACACAGCTGGATGCAGAGATGGGAGAGCTTAGCAGGCCATGAGGTCAGAGTGTCTGTGAGGTCAGCTGCTGTCCAGGGTCAGCCCTGGGGTCCCCATGCCCAGAGGTGGCTCCAGTAGATCAGGTGTCCCTTTAGACGCCCCAGCGCCTGAGACATGGAGACCTGGGAGGGACTGCCCCGTGAGTCCTTGGTGCCCACAAATTCCAAGGCCCCTCAGGTACCAGAGCGTGTGTCCCAGTGGGGCAGGTGAGGGAGACAGGGACAGAGAGAGAGCCAGAAAGCCACCTTGCATGAAGCAGGAGGGGGTGGAGCCCCACCCCTGGGACTTCCTCTTTCGGGGTTCTTCCTTTCTGTCTCAGCTCTCCGTCTCTCTCTCTTTCTCTCTCAGCCTGTCTTTCTCCCTGTCTCCCCTACTGTCAGCACCTCTTCTGTGTGGTGAGTGGACCGCTCACCCCTCTAGGTGAAGATGTCGGCCCAGGAGAGCTGCCTCAGCCTCATCAAATACTTCCTCTTCGTTTTCAACCTCTTCTTCTTCGTGAGTTGCCTCATGGCTCCCCAGCCCGGGCCCAGCCCCTGCCGCTAACCCTGCCCTCATCTTCCCCGGTGGCCCACCCCCGTATCTGCCTCTCCTCAGGTCCTGGGCAGCCTGATCTTCTGCTTCGGCATCTGGATCCTCATCGACAAGACCAGCTTCGTGTCCTTTGTGGGTGAGGGGGGCTGGGGCAGGTGGGAGGGCCTCCCCCAACCCAAGTGACTTCCTGTGGTCTCCCTTGTCTCAGGGAGACCCACGGTGCCCTACTCTGCAGGCAGGCCACAGGCTCCCATCCACTGCTCACCGTTGCTTCGCTTCTCGGAGCCTGCGTCTTCTTCCGGCAAATGGGGTTGTGCATACAAACAATGACCATGAGAGCCATTTCTCAAGCACTTCCTATCTGTCGGGCCTTGTGGCTGGTCAGATGCCCCCACAAACCTTCCCCTCTCTTGAGGTTCAGAGAGGGGAAGTCCCTTGATGGATGTCATATAGCAAGGAAGTAAAATAGCCGAAATAACATTAATAATGATAGGAAAAAAATAATGAAGTATGACCCTAAATAATAATGAAATATGACCCTAAATATTCATATTTAAGAAGTCTTTGCCCTGCGTTGAGGACTGGGTTGAACACATGTTCCCATGTGTCCCTCAAAATGACCCTAGGGGCCGGGTGTGGTGGTTCACGCCTGTAATTCCAGCACTTTGGGAGGCCAAGGCAGGTGGATCACTTGAGGTCAGGAGCTCAAGAACAGACTGGCCAACATGTGGTGAAACCCTGTCTCTACTAAAAAATACAAAACATTAGCCAGGCATGGTGGCACGTGCCTGTAGTCCCAGCTACTAGAGAGGCTGAGGCAGGAGAATCACTCGAACCTGGGAGGCGGAGGTTGCTGTGAGTCAAGATTACATCACTGTACTCCAGCCCGGGTGACACAGCGAGACTCCATCTCGAAAAAAAAAAAAAAGAACCACAACAAACAAACAAAAAAACCTCTGAGAAATAGATACCATCCCCTATGCCTCAGGGAGGTTTAAAGAACCAAGCCAATGTCACAGAACAAGTGATAGGGCTGAAACTACTGGGGATGAGGAGGAGCTGAAGGAGGAAGGAGAGGGTGAGAGGAAGAGAGAGATCCAAGGATAGGAAAAAGAGGCCCAGAAAGAAGAGAAAGTTTCAGCAGGAGACAGGGACTCAGGGTGGGGCAGGGACACAGTCCCAGAGAGAAGGGCACCAGGATACTGCTCCCCACTTGGGCGGCTGCCTAGGTGGGAAATCTGGCTGCCTGGAGTTGTGCCACCCGGCTCATCACTGCTCCCCTCACCTCTCCCAGGCTTGGCCTTCGTGCCCCTGCAGATCTGGTCCAAAGTCCTGGCCATCTCTGGAGTCTTCACCATGGGCCTCGCCCTCCTGGGTTGTGTGGGGGCCCTCAAGGAGCTCCGCTGCCTCCTGGGCCTGGTGAGTGCCTCATCCCTCTCCATCCCTAGGAACACTCCTATCCCCACCCTCAAAAATGGCCTGGGCCGAGGTTTCGAGGGTGGTCAGCCTGATCTCTCCACTCTGCTCCCCAGTATTTTGGGATGCTGCTGCTCCTGTTTGCCACGCAGATAACCCTGGGAATCCTCATCTCCACTCAACGGGCCCAGGTGAGCTTCCTGCAGTGGCCACCACCCACCCCCAGCAGAGAGGAGGGGGAAGAGAGTGGTGGGAGGGGGTGGAGGGAGACGGAGAAACAAAGGCAGACAGGGACTGACCTAGATAAAGAGAAATAAGAGGCTGGGCCTGGTGGCTCATGCCTGTAATCCCATAATCCCAGCACTTTGGGAGGCTGAGGCTGGAGGATTGAGTCCAGGAGTTAGAGACCAGCCTGGGCAACATAGTGAGACCCCATCCATATTAAAAAATATATCCGGGTGTGAGGACGCGCACCAGGGGTCCCAGCTACTTGGGAGGTTGAGGTGGGAGGATCACTTGAGCCAAGGAGTTTGAGGCTACAGTGAGCCATGCACTCATCCTGGGTGACAGAGTGAGACCCTGTCTCAAAAAATAAATTAATAGAAAGACACACCGACCCGGACCAAGGGAGAGAGGGATAAACAGCTCCAAAGGGAAACACACAGGAAAAAGAACAAGAGAAAGAAAAAGATGCCCTGAAAGAAGAGACAGAGACTTAATGAGCCGTAGAAATAGTGGGAGAAACAGAGCAACAGACCTGAAGTACACAGAGCTAGCCATTCAGTGAGGATCTGAGACTGACCCAGAGATGCACAGGGACCGCCTGAGGCTGGCACAGCCTGAGAGGGGGTGGGGTGGGGCGGGGCACATGAGGTCCAGCCTCACTGGTGGCCTCTCAGCTGGAGCGAAGCTTGCAGGACATCGTAGAGAAAACCATCCAAAAGTACCGCACCAACCCCGAGGAGACCGCGGCCGAGGAGAGCTGGGACTATGTGCAGTTCCAGGTGAGCCCTCTCCTCCAGCTCCCTCCCCGACTGACCCGCCTCAGCCCTGAGCTTCGAGGAGACTCCACCCCAACGTGGCCCCGACCCCCAGCTCTAGGACCCGAACGTACCCCAACCCCTCCCAGGCCCAACGCCCCCCACTCCCCAGATGACACAACTGGCCCCGGCATGGCCCAGTCTCCCAGTACCCAGACCCTGGCATGGCTTCGCCATCTACCTTGGGAGACTCCGCCCCCGCCCCGCCCCCGCCCCGACCGGAGGTAGTCAGGCCCCTAGTCCCAAGACCCTAGCGAGACACGGCTTCCTACCCCGCAGTGAGTCTGGCTTCCATCGGACCCCGCCCCCGATGAGACTCACATGGTCTCGCACTCCTATTCACCTGTCGGGTATCAGAGGCTCAATCGCACCGCCCACCAATCTCTGGTCCAGAGCGCGACGCTGCAGCTACTTCCCCAGCCCCAGATCACCCCGTGACCCGTCTCTCCCAGCCCCATTTCCCGTAATGTCCCCTTGCCCCGGCCCCATAGCGACACCAGCCCACTGGCCCCCACTCCATACCCACCACTTAGTCCCCTGCTCCCCGACCTGACCTCATACCCATCACCTTGTCCCCTGATCCCCAACATCATATGTCTCCAGTCTCGGTCCCTCTGACCCGTATCCCTCTCCCAGCTGCGCTGTTGCGGCTGGCACTCCCCGCAGGACTGGTTCCAGGTCCTCACCCTGAGAGGTAACGGGTCGGAGGCGCACCGCGTGCCCTGCTCCTGCTACAACTTGTCAGCGACCAACGACTCCACAATCCTGGATAAGGTGATCTTGCCCCAGCTCAGCAGGCTTGGACAGCTGGCGCGGTCCAGACACAGTACAGACATCTGCGCGGTCCCTGCAAACAGCCACATCTACCGCGAGGTGGGCAGGGGTTCGGAGCATAAACCTGTCGAATAGGGCGGGGCCTGCGGGAGGGGCAGGGCTGCCGGTGAGGGGCGGGGCCTGAGAAAGGGCGGGGCTACAAGAAAAGAAAGGTGCGGTAGGCGGGGCGGGGCCCTCGAAGGGGGCGGGGTCCGTAGGAAGGGCAGGGCCTAAAGAAAAGGCGGGGCTGGGTCTGGAATACAGACATCTAGGGAAGGGCCAGGCTTGGAAAAGGTGAAGCGAAGGTGCACTAGTAAGGAGACGAGAGAGGCCTGGTGACTATGGGAGCGGGTAGATGCCTGAAGGCGGTGAGAGTCGGGCTGAAAAGAACGCTGGCCCTGGGCTTGAGAGTCCCAGAAAGAATCCCTTTAACTTTTCCCGACACCCGCAGGGCTGCGCGCGAAGCCTCCAGAAGTGGCTGCACAACAACCTTATTTCCATAGTGGGCATTTGCCTGGGCGTCGGCCTACTCGAGGTGATCTGGCCCCGCCCCCACCCGCGATCTGCCGGGATTTACCCTAGATGGCCCTGCCCTTCATTTCGCGTCTTCCGGTTGCCTGGGAAGGACGCGCTCGGGACGGAGCGCAGCCCATCCCAGCCCTCCCGCGGCTCCACCCAGCACCAGGGGTGGGGGTGGTCTAGCTTCAGGGAGCCCTGATTGGCTGCACGCAGGGAAAACCTCCTGCTATTGGCTGCGATCTCCCTCCCCTTTCCCCGCAGATGACTGTCATGATGCTGAGCGTGCAGCTACAGCGCAGGGCACTCCGCCAGAAATGCGAGCCGCACTTGCCGGGCGCTCGGGGTTCCAGCCCCGGGCCCAGTCTGATCGCTGACGGCGGCGGCGGGCGCAGCGGCAGTCTGTGGGGTGGTTGGGGCATGGCGGGTGCCTGCCCCAACTGGGGGGACAAGGCCCCGCAGGGCAAGCTGCCCATGGCCCTGGGACTCTGGCCGCTGTGGGTTCAAGACGAGGACCAGCCTGATACTGGGAGTGCGGGCGCAGAATTAGAGGCCGAGGCAGAATTAGAGGCTGAGGCAGAGGGGGAGACAGATGAGCCTCCAGAATAAACGACCCTGGGCTTGCTTCCGACCTTACTGCTTCTCAGCCTCTACCCCGACTCCGCCTCCCCACCTATAGCAGCGGCGCTTCCCCTACCCCCACTTGTTGCAGCTGTTCCCGCCTCATCAGCCAGTCCTGCGGCAGTTTCCTTCGAGCCCCGCCCATTTCTACCTATCCCGTTCTCCAGCCCCGTCCCGCCCAGTTCACGGCCCCACCCCTGACCTTTCTCGCCCGGGTGGGCATCACCCGCGTCTCGCCAGCACCCCTTCGACTTCTCTGACCTCATCTCCTTTCTCTATAGCTCGGGTTCATGACGCTCTCGATATTCCTGTGCAGAAACCTGGACCACGTCTACAACCGGCTCGCTCGATACCGCTAGGCCCCGCCCCCGTCACGTGCGCTGGGCACTTCCCTGCTGCCTGTAAATATTTGTTTAATCCCCAGTTCGCCTAGAGTCCTCCGCCTTCACATTCCCCTGGGGACCCAGGTGGCTGCCTGCCACCGCTGCTGTCACCTCTCCCACGGGACCTGGGGCTTTCGTCCACAGTTTCCTGCCCCCATCTGTCGGCCTACCACCTCCCACAAGATTATTTTTCACTCAAACCTCAAATAAATGCCCTGCGTTTTTGGTAAAATAGCTTTATCCTCTGTCAGAACACAAACCAACAAACTTTGAGAGGGGAGGGAGGAAACAGTCTAGCTCACAGCTCACTTGTGGGGGGGATGAGATTAGAAAGCTTCAACCCACTACTTGTGCAGCTGAGATAAAGTCAAGACCCTAGCACCCACTTATAAATATCTCGTTATATTAAAAAAAAAATATTTCCAGGGCCCACCTGGCTCTGCTCCTGCACAGAAAGGGTTAATCTTCACTTTGTGATCTCACAGGTCATGGAGTGAGGGTGGTAAAGAGAGGCAGAAATTTCAGGGGGAGGGGTGGCTGGGAAAAAGTAAAGGGGACAAGCCAATGTGTAACTACGGCCCTCCAAGACATGCAGAGGAGTTGGGGGGCCCTGCCAGGGGCTGAGAAGTCAGTGCTGTACCTGGAGGTTGTCTCACTCCTGTCCCCACAATCCCTGATACTCCGGAGTGATCTGTCCTTTCAGACATCCACTGTGAGGTCCCAATATTGGGGTTTATCCTTTCCTCAGTCCCAGCCTGTTCAGCTCTCCAACCAAGTTTTGGGGGCCCCTCTAATGGGGGGGATGGCCCCAGCTGCTTAGGCCTCTGAGGTCAACCCCTTTACATCACAGCCCTCTCCCCAAATAAGAAGCATGAGGTGAGCTGGAGGACCCTCCCTGGAAGGAGGGTGTTCTGGGGGTGAGCCAGTTTTGGGGTCCCCCTTCAGTCCCTGACCAGGCGGTAAATGTGATGCTGGGCCCCACGCTCGCTGGTGGAGACCTCGAAGACATAGGCGGTGCAGAGCAGCAGTTCCTGGGTGTCTCTGTTTGTCACCACCTGCCAGGGAGGCCAGGACAAGGGACTTATGCTTAGAAGGGAAGGCAGGGACCCCTATGCACCCCCGCCAAGTTATCATGGAATACCCAGCAGGCTCTTTTCTATCTCCAGGAAACAGGCGGCCACCGTATCATGTTCCCCAAGAGAAAGGCACGCCCAAAAGTCAGTTCCCTCAGCTGAGCGTTGGCAGTGACGGTGTATCATGTCTCAGGGTCAATCAGGTTCCCATCATATCACATTCCCCAGGTAAAACAGATCCCCATCATGTCACAGGTAAAGAGAGAACCCTCCCTGCAGGTTCCGCAGTCAAGGGGTCTCTGCCTCACCAGTCCAAAAAGTTAAAGGGGCTCCCACCATGTCATGTTCCTTGAGAAGCTGAGGATCTGCCTTGAAGTGTCCTCCAGTCAGCTTCCCCAGGGAAGGAGGGCTTACGTGCGAGTGCTATGGGGCTGGGCATGGTGGCTCACGCCTGTAATCCCAGCACTTTAGGAGGCCTAGGCGGGTGGATCACTTGAGGTCAGGAGTTCGAGACCAACCTGGCCAACATGGTGAAACCCCCGTCTCTACTAAAGATACAAAAATTAGCCAGGCATGGTGGGGCATGCCTGTAATCCCAGCTACTCAGGTGGCTGAGGCAGGAGAATCGCTTGAACCCGGGAGGCAGAGGTTGCAGTGAGCTGAGATCTTGCCACTCCAGCCTGGGCAACAGAGCAAGACTCCATCTCAAAAAAAAAAAAAAAAGAGAGAGAGAGGGCTGTGACATCCCCAACACATCAGTTCCCTAGGTGAAGGGGTCCCCTAAACTAAGGGTCAATGGTGGGATCCCCACTGCATCAGTTTCCTGGTTAAAAGAGCCTCAGGCTGAGGGCTCACTTCGGAGTCTCTGCTGCGTCAGTCCCTGGGTGAGGAGTTCCCCTAGACTGAAGGTCTGTTATAGGTACTGTCTCTCCACACTGGGGGCCCCTGGGGGCCCCCACTCCAGCCCAGCCCCAGGCATCACCTGGAGGATGGTGAAGTTTTCCAGGACGCTGTTCATCATGTATCGCTCAGGCAGCTGCCGCAACTTGTGCAAGAAATTCACCAGGTACTCGCACATGGGCGAGCGTAGCAGGCGGTACACAAATCTGCCATCCTCCAGCTGGGCCCGTTCCGTCTGAACCAAGGGGCAGGGAGTGGGGAGAATGGTGGCTGAGAGACACACGGGTCACCCCAGGAACTGAGCTCCACCCTGTGCCTCTAAGATGCCGTCACACTCACTCTCACTGCCACCTTCCTTTCATCACCCCACCCACAGTGACCGGAGACTGGGCCTGAACCCTCAGGGATCCAACTCAGGATCTCTGAGCCTGCAAATCACAAGCCCCTCAAAGTGACGCTCTGAACCCCCAAAGGCCTCTGAACTCCTCTAACCTCCCAGCCCTCAGATACCCTCCAAAGACGCCTCCATGACATTTTCAAACTCTATCTAACCTCTAAACTTGAGACTTCCCCAAGTCTCCAGCAACCCCTAAGTGTGACTTCTGAACCTTCTTGCCCTAGGAACCTCTCCATAGCCTTAAGACCCTTCTCAATCTCAGTGACTCTAAATCTCTATACTACACATGACCTGTCAGCCCTCAGAATGATCCCTACCTGTGACTTCCGAACTCCACATTAGCTCCCAACGCATGCATTAAACCCTCAAAAGAGGCTGGGACCCACTCCCTCCACGCACACCCCAAATGCCTGAGCCATCATGGCTTCTGGTCCATTCTGCACCCCCAAGTGCTGGGTGGCTGGGCGCTCACCCGCCCAGAGCTCCACCCCTCCAGCCTCACCTCCACCTTCTCCACCACCTGCTTGCCAAAGGAGCAGACCTTGGAGGAACAGGTGAGGGTCATGTGTTCCAGGCTCTCATACTGGCTGCTCACTCCGTAGAAGCCACCACTGCTGATGCTGCCACCGGCCCCCGCCTCCTCGCCACTTGGGCCCCAGTTCAGGTCCGCCTGGGAGATGGGAAGGCACAGATGAGTCAGAGGGGACGTCCCTTATAAACAGTGGAGACTACCGGCACGGTTGCTCACGCCTGTAATCCCAGCACTTTGGGAGGCTGAGGTGGGTGGATCACCTGAGATCAGGAGTTCGAGACCAGCCTGACCAACATGGAGAAACCCCGTCTCTACTAAAAATACAAAATTAGCCGGGCGTGGTGGCACATGCTTGTAATCCCAGCTACTGGAACACTGACGCAGGACGCAGGAGAATCACTTGAACCTGGGAGGCGGAGGTTGTGATGAGTAGAGATCGGGCCATTGCACTCCAGCCTGGGCAACAAGAGCGAAACTTCATCTCAAAAAAAAAAAAAAAAAAAAAAAAAACCACAGCGGGGACTCTGCCCCATAGCCTAGTTTTCCCATTACCCCTGCAATTCCCAGCTTGATTCCTCAGTGCTTTTTTTTTGGAGACAGGATCTTGCTCCGTCACCCAGGCTGGAGTGTGGTGGTACAATGACAGCTCACTGCAGCCTCGACCTCCTGAGCTCAAGTGATCCTCCCACCTCAGCCTCCTGAGTAGCCAGGACCACAGGTGCATGCCACCACACCCAGCTAACATTTTGTATTTTTTGTAGAAACAGGGTTTCACCATGTTGCCCAGGCTGGTCTCCAACTCCTGGGCTCAAGCGACCCTCCCACCCTGGCCTCCCAAAGTGCTGGGATTACAGGCGTGAGCCACCGCGTCAGGCTTTCAAAGTTCTCCAAGGGCTGGTTTCTGGAGAAGATCCACTGCCCATCCATGTTGAAGAAGTCTGGGTCCCCAAAACAGTCTTGGCCCTCTCTCCCCAGTAACCAAAGGAACCCTGGAATTCAAATTCAACCTTTTTTCTTTTCCTTTTTGTTTTTTGAGATGAAGTCTTGCTCTTGTTGCCCAGGCTGGAGTGCAATGCCACGATCTCGGCTCATTGCAACCTCCGCCTCCTGGATTCAAGTGAGTCTCCTGCCTCAGTCTCCCAAGTAGCTGGGATTACAGGCACATGCCACCATGTCTGGCTAATTTTTGTATTTTTAGTAGAGACGGGGTTTCATCATCTTGGCCAGGTTGGTCTCGAACTCCAGAACTCAGGTGATCCACCTGCCTCGGCCTCCCAAAGTGCTAGGATTACGGGCATGAGCCACCATGCCCGGCCAATTCAACCTTTTTCTCTTGAAGCCCGCAACTCAAAGGTTTAGCCCCTTCCAAGGGCCTGGTTACTAAGGAGGCAGTTACTGCTTAGCAACCAGTTCAAGATGAACACCTCCCTCTAAGCCCCTCTACCCTGGTTGCTAAGGCAAGTTGCTACTCCCTAGCAATGGGACTTCACAGAGCCTGCGGAGGCCTGACTCCTCTTCAGAGCGCTTCCCCCTCGGCCGAATCTGAGAGGTCAGACTCCCTCCATAACCCCAGTGGCCAAGTGCGTAGACAGCTGGCCAAGTGTCACTAGGCCAAGTGGGGCCTAAGGAAGCCTAAGAGCTCATCACAGGTTTGGTCTGAGTCGCCTCCTCAAGAGGCGTACCTCTTCCTCTTCCTAACTGTAGTTGCTAACACTGTGCCAGGTCAGTCTTCTCAGGGGCTCAGCTCCATCCCTCACTGTGGCAAAACCAAAGACCTTACCAGCTGCTCCTCTGAACCCCTTCAGCAGCTGGGCTTCCTAAGGGGGTGGCTCTCCAGTCCTGGGACCTCATGAGGCCTGTCTTAAGCCCCAACAGTGTCTAAGCCCTCAGCTGCACATCCCCAGAGCAGTTTCAGACCCCTGCTTCACACGGCAGAAAGCTTCAGAACCGTGAACAGCAAGCTCCAGAACAGCAACATTCCCAGCAAGGCCAATAAAGTTCAGGCCCTCAGCAGCCTTTCTTTCTTTTTTTCTTCTTCTCTTTTTATTTTTTTCTGCGTTTTGAGACAGGGTCTCATTCTGTCACCTAGGCTGGAGGGCAGTGGCACAATCTTGGCTCACTGCAGCCTCCACCTCCTGGGCTTAAGTGATCCTCCCGCCTCAGCCTCCAGAGAAGCTGGGACCACAGGTGCACACCACCACATCCAGCTAATTTTTCATTTTTTGTAGAGTTGAGATCTCGCTGTGTTGCCCAGGCTGGTCTCAAACTCCTGAACGCAGGCGATCCTCTCGCCTCTGCCTTGTAAAGTGCTGGGAAGATAGGAGTGAACCACCACACCTAGCCAGGCTTTCTTCTCAGAGACTAGATCCCTCTACCACCTTTGTTACTATAAGAGCTAGCACCCCCTAAACAACCAGGCAACATTTATTGAGCCCAGGCCAGGCGCTGTGGCTCACACCTGTAATCCCAGCACTTTGGGAGGCCAAGGCGGGTGGATCACTTGAGGTCAGGAGTTTGAGACCAGACTGACCAACATGATAAAACCCTGTCTCTACTAAAAATACAAAAATTAGGCCAGTTGCAGTGGCTCATGCCTGTAATCCCAGCACTTGGGGAGGCCGGGGTGAGCGGATCACTTGAGGTCAGGAGTTCAAGACCAGCCAGGCCAACATGACGAAACCCCGTCTCTACTAAAAATACAAAAATTAGCTGGGCATGGTGGCACATGCCTGTAATCCCAGCTACTTGAGAGGCTGAGGCTGGAGAATCGCTTGAACCCAGGAGGCAGAGGTTGCAGTGTGCCAAGATCGCACCATTGTACTCCAGCCTGGGCCACGGGAGCAAAACTCCATCTCAAAAAAATAAATAAATAAAAACAATAAAATAAAATAAAACACATTTATTGAACCCCTGTAGTGTTAGTCATCGTATTGGACACTGGACCAAGTAGCCCTAAGAAACACGCAAGATGGGCCCTCTTAGTCACAGTTATATAAATGGCACCTGACACCAGGCCTCTACACATGAAGTGCTCAGTAAATGATTGCTACATAAATACAGGACTTGGCCGGGTGCGGTGGTTCACACCTGTAATCTCAGCACTTTGGGAGGCCAAGGCGGGCAGATCATTTGAGGCCAGGAGTTCAAGACCAGCCTGGCCAACATGGCGAAACCCTGTCTCTACTAAATATACAAAAATTAGCCAGATGTGGTGGCGGGTGCCTGTAGTACAAGCTACTGGGGAGGCTGAGGCAGGAGAATCGCTTGAATCCAGGAGGCAGAGGTTGCAGTGAGCCAAGATCCAGTCACTATACTCCAACCTGGGTGACAGTGAGATTCTGTCTCAAAAATAAACAAACAAATAAATGAATACAGGACTTGACAAAGCCACTCCGTGGCTCCTTCCATCACTTCCTCAAAGCCAGACGTTCTCTAGCAACAAGGTCTGGTGAAACTGATGCAAAGCATCATTCCCCTCTTTAGAGAACAGGGCCTCCACAAGTCCACTGGCAAAGGGGAGGGGGCTGTTCCTTAGCAGCAAGGCTTGGTGCAGTCAGGTGGGGCACAGGGAAGCCTGGAATGTGGCAAGCCCATGCCCAGGACCCCATTAGTTACACGGCCAGGTAACTCGCCATATTAGTTACATGCGGCAATATCCAGGGAGGCCCAGGCACCCCCACCCACCCTGGGGGCTGGCCTCCTCGGTGTTCCTTGTCGCAAAGGGGACTGACACTCCAAGCCATGAGGACTGACCGGTACGTCCCAGGCTGACCTGGCAGGGCCTGCGACCATCTCTTTTAGGGCCAGAGGCCTTTGCTGGGACACCACAGGATTTGTAAGCACTTTTGGTTTTGCTGTGACAACTCACCCAGAACTTGACCAGGAAGAAGGCGTGGGGGGGGCCACGATCATACAGCTCTCGGAGGCCACCCTTTTTCTCAGGGAATTTGTCATAGATCTGCCGGACGTCCACGCTCTCGAGCGGCGGCGCTCCGGGGCTGGGGCAGTGCTGGCTGATGTGCACAAACAGGTGTCTCTGGTACTGAGGAGGGTTGGCCGTGGGTGAGAAGTCGGAGGTGGGCTGCATCTCCAGCCCGTGCTGCCTGAGCCCACCAAATGCCGTCACCATCCCCACAGCTCTGGCCAGCTGTTCCACACTGTCCACCCAGCACTGGGCCTGACTCCCACCCATCGTCCCCACTCCTGTCTCCTGCAGCCCCTGCAGTCCCACAGTCCCCAACTCCCTGCCACACCCCCCAACTCCATCCTCACTGCCTCAGCCTCAGCATAGGCCTCCCGCCCTCACTCCAGACTCCAACCTCGCCTCTCCAGTTCACCCCTCACGTGGCTCCAGACCTGCTCCAGACCTGCTCCCCTGGTCATAGCCCTCCCATAGCTCCCCAGCACCCCGAGAGCAAAGCTCACACCCCCTAGGCCTGGTCCTATATAGAGCAGGTGCTCATAAATGTTCAATGGATGGAAGACTGAATTAATGAGAATCCAGAGGTCTTATGGTTGATGTTTTGATTGATGTTTATATGGTGTGGCAGAGACTGCTACGTGTTCACAAATCCTGGTTCCTTTACACAGTGTGAAACTACATTTCCCAGGCTGCTTGGCGGTTAGGTGTGTCCACGTGACTAAGTTCTGGCCAATGGGATGTGACCAGGCCTGACAGTTGACACATCCAAGCCAGATTCCTAAAACCTCCTGCACAATCTTGACTCTCTCCCTTCCTCCATCTGCTGGCCAGATGCAGAGACTCCATCAGCAGATTCTGAAGCCTCAGAAAATGGCAGAGCCACAAAATGGAAGGAGCCTGGATCCCCAAATCACTTGAGTCCAAGGCTCCTGCTGAACCTACATTGTAATGTTACATGCAATTTATCTGGCATTCAGTCCCTAAGAGTTAGGAGCTGTTTCTTCTAACAGTCGGCCCACTCCATCCTAACCCAGGAGAGGCTCAAGCACAGAAACAAGATCTTTTCCAAGTTCCTAGTATGCATCACAAAGCCTAGTGAACAGTAGAAACTCAAACACATTTGATGAATGAATGAATGATATCCTGAGGAGTTTTTCTGACCTTCCCAACCTGTCACCCCATGACCTTCCAGTTCCTTTATGCTAGTAGTTCTCAAAGTACGGTCCCCAGACCAGCTGCATCAGCGCACCTGGTAGCTTATTAGAAACGCAAATTCTCAAGCCCCACATCATATCTAGCACATCAGAAATTCTGGGGATGGGGCCCAGCAATCTCTGTTTTAAGAAGCCCCCCAGATGATTCTGATACATGCTAAAGTTTGAAAACCATGACTTTATACCTTCCCTCCCTATCACCCTCGATATTTCAAAATCCCTCAGTGACTATACCAAAATTTCACTCACAGAATCAACTGCATCTGGCGGTTCCACAAATGCTGAGAACTCTACCAGCTGCAACCGGGCAGTGCCCAGGGCCCGAGCCTGCCAGGCTGGGGGCGATGGGGCAGGTGGGGGCAGGGGTGAGAGGGCTTGGGGGGGCTCGTACCCTAGAGAGAGAGAAGAAAGAACAATACAAATTGCTAACATTTATTGAATATATCAGGTACTGTTGTCTCTTGCCTGCCTCCACTTAGAAACTGAAAAAGCTAAATACTCACTTTCCCAGCCTCCCTTGCAGTTAGAAGTGGCCATATGACACAGTCCTAGCCAATGAGACGTTAGGGGAAATCTGCTGGGGGGCTTCTGGGAAGGAGTTTCTTCCTGAATGAAAAAGACAGAACTTTGGGAGGAGAAAGCTTTTGGCCCTGGCCAAGTCCTGCTTGGGACATTGATATGGTTTGGATATTTGTCCTCTCCAAATCTCATGTTGAAATGTGATCCCCAGCTGGGCGTGGTGACTCATGCCTGTAATCCCAGCACTTTGGGAGGCCGAGGCAGGCGGATCACAAGGTCAGGAGATCAAGACCATCCTGGCTAACACGGTGAAACCCTGTCTCTACTAAAAATACAAAGTATTATTTGGGCGTAGTGGCACGTGCTTGTAATCCTAGCTACTCAGGAGGCTGAGGCAGGAGAATCATTTGAATCCAGGAGGCAGGGGTTGCAATGAGCCGAGACTGTGCCACTGCTCTCCAGACTGGGGGACAGAGTTGAGACTCCATCTCAAAAAAAAGTGTAATCCCCAAGGTTGAAGGTGGGGCCTGATGGGAAGTGCCTGGGTCATGGGGGTGGATCCCTCATGAATGTCTTGGTGCCTTTCCCATAGTAACAAGTGAGTTCTCACTCTTTGAGTTGATGTGAGCTGGCTGTTAAAAGAAGTCTGGCTTCGCTCGCTTGCTCCCTCTCACCATGTGACATGGTGGCTCCCCTTCCCCTTCTCCCATGATCCTAAACTTCCTGAGACCCTCACCAGAAGCATAGGCTGGCAACATGCTTCCTGTACAGCCTGCAGAATTGTGAACCAAAGAAACCTCTTTTCTTTATAAATCACCCAGTCTCAGGCATTCCTTTCCAGCAATGCAAATGGACCAACACAGACATGATCCTTGGAATTGCAACAGCCATCTTGGGACAATAAGACAGACGTGAGAGGAACTACCGAGATGCCAGTCCTCATATTGGTAAGCCCACACAGCAACAGCCCACCTCCAGGCTTTTTGTTGTGTGGATTCATAACATGAATGCTTTTACTATTTAAGGCACTTTTAATTTGGGTCTTCTGTTACTTGCAGCCAAAAGTATTCCTAAATCTAATAAAAGTATTGATAAATCTATGGAAACTAAGGGACTCCCTCTTTCACTGATGTGAGTTCTCAGGGCCATATCAGCATGGACTTCCAGAAGCCATCTTTGCTGCCAAGTAGCTGAGCCTGCCTGGGAATGAAGCCACCATAGTGGAAAGCAGATCAAAGTAACCTGACGCCATCACTTGAGCCTCTGGATCCAGCCATGCCTGAAGCCATAATTCTGAACTATCAGTTACTGGAACCAATAAATCAATAAATTTTTCTTATTATATTTTATATTTTTATTTTTTTATTTTTTGAGACAGAGTCTTGCTCTGTTGCCCAGTCTGGAGTGCAATAGTGCCACCTCAGCTCACTGCAACCTCTACCTCCCGGGTTCAAGTGATTCTCCTGCCTCAGCCTACCGAGTAGCTGGGATTACAGGTGCATGCCACCACGCCTGGCTAATTTTTGTATTTTTTAGTAGAGGTGGGGGTTTCACCATGTTGGCCAGGCTGGTCTCAGACTCCTGACCTCAGGTGATCCACCTGCCTTGGCCTCCCAAAGTGCTGGGATTACAGGCATGAGTCACTGCACTGGCCTGTTTTTTAAAATGTTGCTTCAGCTGGCTTGATTTGGATTTCTGTCACTTGCAGCTGAAGGAATCTTGACTAACACACCTCCCCAATGTCTCATAAGCTAGTAAGTGGCAGAACACAAACCCAGTGTGAGTGGCTACAAAGACCAAAATCTCCTAACCATCACCAGTTCCACCACTCAGCTCTCCAGCCCGTCCCTGCTCCCCCGCCTCCAACACACACACCCTGCCTCAAAGCTGGGCTTCAGTAAGAATGTATCCTCCAATTGGCCTGGCGCAGTGGCTCATGCCTGTAATCCTAGCACTTTGGAAGGCTGAGGCGGGTGGATCACGACATCAAGAGATTGAGACCATCCTGGCCAACACAGTGAAACCTAATCTCTACTAAAACTACAAAAATTAGCCGGGCGTGGTGGTGGGCGCCTGTAATTCCAGCCACTCAGGAGGCTGAGGTAGAATTGCTTGAACCCACAAGGCAGAGGTTGCAGTGAGCTGAGATCGCGCCATTGCACTCAGCCTGGCAACAGAGCAAGACTTCATCTCCAAAAAAAGAAAAAAAAAAACACCACAATGTATCCCTCAATTGATGGAAGGTTGAAGGAAAGTCAGCAGGGGTCGAAGAGAGAGAGGGGAGACGAGGGAGGGTGGAGCACAGGCTCTTACCTGGGAGGTCAGTAGATGGGGGAGTCAGTGACAAGGAGAACGGTGTCTGTGAGAATGGCTTCACACTGAGGGAAAAAGGAAGCCAGGGGTTAGCCAGGTAGAAAGATGCTAATGTCACCAGCAAATGTTTACTGAGAGGCCACAACAAGCCAGACCCTGTGCACTTTGTGCACAATCTCATTGAAGCCTGACAGTGCGTGAGGTAGGTAGAATGACTGCTCTATTCATTACACAAATGAAGAAACAGGTATTGAGGGGTCAACTGACCTGCCCAAAGTCACACAGCTGAGATGCAGCAGAGCTGGGACTTGAACCCAGGTCAGTCTCAGCCCGGTATCTCAGGCTCTTGATGATGACATTTTGGTATCTCTCACAAAATGTCAGAAAGAGAAGAGAAACTGGCCGGGCGTGGTGGCTCACACCTGTAATCCCAGCACTTCAGGAGGTTGAGGCAGGCAGATCACTTGAGGTCAGGAGTTCAAGACCAGCCTGACCAACACGATGAAACCCCATCTTTACTAAAAATACAAAAATTAGCCGGGTGTGGTGGCCAACACCTGTAATCCCAGCTACTTAGGGGGCTGGGCCAGGAGAATTGCTTGAACCCAGGAGGCAGGGGTTGCAGTGAGCCAAGATAGCGCCATTATACTCCTGGATGACAGAGCAGGACTCCATGTCAAAAAAAATAAAGAAAGAGGACAGAAGAGAAACCAAGCCTTGGAGGGGGGGGAGAGGCAAAGGAAGAGAGGGATTTGGAGGAAGAAGAGGCTGAGGGGTTGGGAGGGTGGGAAGAAAATCACCGACAGTCAGGAGATGGGACATGAGGCCAAAGTCAGGGTGGGGAGGCAGCACTGGCCAATAGAACTTTCCAGTGACGGAAACGTTCTATTCGATGGAAATCTGCGCCATCCGATACGGTACCCAGTGCACACATGTGGCTACTGACCACACACCTCGTGGCCACTGAGCACTAGTGTGGCTCATGTACCTGAGAAACAGAATCTTTAATTTTATTTAATTTTAATTTAAATAGCTGCATGGGCTAGTGGCTATAGTATCAGTCACAGCCCTAGTAGCACAAGAGATAGTGGTGAAGAGACTTAGATGTCAGAGATCATACCAGGCGCACTGTATTCCCAGCACTTTGGGAGGCCAAGGCAGGAGGATCGCTTGAGCCCAGGAGTTTGAGACCAGCCTGGGCAACACAGCAAGACCCCATCTCTGATTTTTTTTTTTTTTTTTTTAAGATGGAGTTTCGCTGTTGTTGCCCAGGCTGGAGTGTAATGGTGTGATCTCGGCTCACCACAACCTCCACCTCCTGGGTTCAAACTATTCTCCTGCCTCAGCCTCCCGAGTAGCTGGGATTACAGGCATGCACCACCACGCCTGGCTAACTTTGTACTTTTAGTAGAGACAGGGCTTCTACATGTTGGTCAGGCTGGTCTTGAACTCCCGACCTCAGATGATCCACCCATCTTGGCCTCCCAAAGTGCTAGCATTATAGGTGTGAGACACTGCGCCCGGCCTCCCATCTGTATTTTATAAAGAAAAAGAAGGAAGGAGAGGGAGAAGGAGAGAGGGAGGGTGAGGGGGAGGGAGAGGGATGGAGGGGGAGGGAGGGGGAGGAGGGGAGAAGGGGGAGAAGAAAGAAGGAGAAGGAGGAAGGAGGAGGAGGAGGAGGGAAAGAAAGGAAGAAAGAAAGAGAGAGGGAGGGAAAGAAAGAAAGAAAAGGAAGAAGAGAAGGAGAAGAAGGAGGAGGAGGAAGGAGAAGAAACGGAGGATGGAAGAAAGAGAAGAAAAGCCAAAGGTCATGGAAGGCTGAGGTGGGCAGATCACCTGAGGTCAGGAGTTTGAGACCAGCCTGGTCAACATGGCGAAACCCCGTCTCTACTAAAAACACAAAAATTAGCCAGGTGTGGTGGTAGTAATCCCAGCTACTCAGGAGGCTGAGGCAGGAGAATCACTTGATTCTACTCTAGGAGGCAGAGGTTAGTGAGCCGAGATCTCACTACTGCATTCTCCAGCCTGGGTCACAGAGTGAGACTCTGCCTCAAAAAGTAAGTCAGAGGTCAGGGAGATAGGATATGGGGGTCAAAGGTCAGAAAAGATGTTAAGGGTCAAAAGACCAAGATCAGATGACAAACTCCAGGAGACCCTGACTCCCGTGGGTTCTGCCCTAGACCTTGTCATCCCAATTCTAAAATCTAAACTTCAATACTCTGCCCATTGACATAATCTCTAATTCTTTTTTTTTTTTTTTTTTTGAGACGGAGTCTCGCTCTGTCACCCACGCTGGAGTGCAGTGGCCGGATCTCGGCTCACAGCAAGCTCCGCCTCCCGGGTTCACGCCATTCTCCTGCCTTCGCCTCCCGAGTAGCTGGGACTACAGACGCCCGCCACCTCGCCCGGCTAGTTTTTTTTTGTATTTTTTAGTAGAGACGGGGTTTCACCATGTTAGCCAGGATGGTCTCGATCTCCTGACCTTGTGATCCGCCCGTCTCGGCCTCCCAAAGTGCTGGGATTACAGGCTTGAGCCACCACGCCCGGCCCATTGACATAATCTCTAATCATCAAAGCCACCTCTTCAGATAGGCCTTTTCTGTCCCTTGTCTAAAATAGAGCTAATACACTCTGCTCTATTTTTCTTTTACTTTTTTTTTTTTTTTTGAGACTGAGTCTCGCTCTGTTGCCCAGGCTGGAGTGCAGTTGGCCGGATCTCAGCTCACTGCAAGCTCCGCCTCCCGGGTTTACACCATTCTCCTGCCTCAGCCTCCCCAGTAGCTGGGACTACAGGCGCCTGCCACCTTGCCCGGCTAGTTTTTTTGTATTTTTTAGTAGAGACGAGGTTTCACCGTGTTAGCCAGGATGGTCTCGATCTCCTGACCTCGTGATCCGCCCGTCTCGGCCTCCCAAAGAGCTGGGATTACAGGCTTGAGGCACCGCGCCCGGCCTCTGCTCTATTTTTCATATTTATTCCTTTTCTTTTCTTTTCTTTTCTTTTCTTTTGAGACAGAGTTCTGCTCTTGTTGCCCAGGCTGGAGTGCAATGACGTGATCTCGGTTCACCACAACCTCCGCCTCCTGCATTCAAGCGATTCTCCTGCCTCAGCCTCCCAAGTAGCTGAGATTACAGCTGTGCCACCACACCCCGCTAATTTTGTATTTTTTTAGTAGAGACGGGGTTTCACTATGTTGGTCAGACTGGTCTCGAACTCCTGACCTCAAGTGATCCACCCACCTCAGCCTCCCAAAGTGCTGGATTACAGGCATGAGCCACCGCGCCCGGCCTCCTTTTCTTATTAATCCTCTGTTTATATGTTTATTGTCGGTCTCTTCCCAGCCCCAAATATATGAAGCTCCGTGAAGGCAGGGATTTCACCTGTCTTACTGCTGTGCCCCTAAACCAAGCACAGTATCAGGCACTTAGTAGGCACTCAACAAATACTGGACTGGCCTCCTCTAGATTCCTGGAATCCAGCAAGATCTCCTACCTCGGGACCTTGTCACGTGCTATTGTCTCTGCCTAATATATTCCCACTCCCATTCTTTTTTTTTTTTTTTTTTGAGATAGAGTCTCACTCTGTTGCCCAGGCTGGAGTGCAGTGGCACGATCTCAGCTCACTGCAACCTCTACCTCCCAGGTTCAAGCGATTCTCCTGCCTCAGCCTCCAGAGTAGCTGGGACTACAGGAGCACATCACCATGCCCGGCTGTTTTTTGCATTTTTAGTAGAGATGGGGTTTTACCATGTTGGCCAAGCTGGTCTCGAACTCCTGACCTCAAGTGATCCGCCCTCCTTGGCCTCCCAAAGTGCTGGGATTACAGACGTGGGCCACCGTGCCAGGCCTCCCACTCCCATTCTTCACCTGACTAAGTCCTACCCAGGCTTCAATGTTTTCTTCTCAGAGAAACCCCTAGAACTTTCTCCTCCACCCCAGAACCTGCTGTGGTTCTTCACAGCACCTCACACATTCTTCAATTTTCTGTTTATGCAGGTGATTATTTGATTAACACTCATTTCCCCCATTTGACTAACAGCTCCATAAAAGTGGAAACCCCAGCGTCAGTGCAGTGCCTGCCCAACCCCCCACCCTCCAGCTCAGCACCCTCCCCTGCAAAACCCTCAGCCCCCAGGTACTTGATCTGATGCTTCCCATGTCCCCATTCAGCAGCGGCTCCCTAGTGACCTTCCTTCTCTTCCAGTCTAGATCCCACAGCCTGTCATTGCACTCTTTATTTATTTATTTATTTGAGACGGAATCTCGCTCTGTTGCCCAGGCTGGAGTGCAGTGGCACAATCTCGGCTCACTGCAACCTCCGCCTCCCGGGTTCAAGCGATTCTCCTGTCTCACCCTCTTGAGTAGCTGGGACTACAGGTGCCTGCCACCACACCCAGCTAATTTTTTTGTGTGGCTTTTTTTTTTGGTGTTTTCAGTAGAGATGGGGTTTCACCATGTTGGCCAGAATGGTCTCGATCTCCTGACCTCATGATCCACCCGCCTCAGCCTCCCAAAGTGCTGGGATTACAGGCGTGAGCCACCGCACCTGGCCCTCACTGCACTCTTTCTCTGGCAATACGGTCAACACTCCTGCCTCACCGTCCTGCAGCCACACAAGCCGATCAATGCCTAGCCTGGATCCATCAGTTCTTCTCTGGGCTGAAAAATGCACCCCCAGCCCGCCACGGTGGCTCACGCCTGTAATCCCAGCACTTTGGGAGGTCCAGGGAGTGGGATCACTTGAGCCCAGGAGTTCGAGACCAGCCTGGGCAACACAGCAAGACCACCGTCTCTACAAAAAATCAAAAAATTAGCCAGGCGTGGTGGCACACGCCTATACTCTCAGCTACTCAGAAGGCTGAGGCAGGAGGATTGCTTGAACCTAGGAGGCTGAGGCTGCAGTGAGTCATGATTGTGCCACCACACCCCAGCCTGGGCAAGAAAGGAATATCCTGTATAAAAAAGAAAAAAAAAAAAAAAAGCACTTCTCATCATCTTCTGGGGCCCATTTCTATTCTTTTTTTTTTTTTTTTTTTTTTTTTTGAGACGGAGTCTCGCTCTGTCGCCCAGGCTGGAGTGCAGTGGCCGGATCTCAGCTCACTGCAAGCTCCGCCTCCCAGGTTCATGCCATTCTCCTGCCTCAGCCTCCTGAGTAGCTGGGACTACAGGCGTCCGCCACCTCGTCCGGCTAGTTTTTTGTATTTTTTTAGTAGAGACGGGGTTTCACTGTGTTAGCCAGGATGGTCTCGATCTCCTGACCTTGTGATCCACCCGTCTCGGCCTCCCAAAGTGCTGGGATTACAGGCTTGAGCCACCGCGCCTGGCCCCATTTCTATTCTTATAGGCTAGAAACATATCCTGTCACCTCAAGGCTCTCTCAGAACTGAAAAGGACACTCCCACTTACCTCTGGGAAACATTTTCTTCCTTCTGAATCTAAGAGAAGATTAATTATAACCTCTGTTCTACCCTCAGGTCCAAGAACCATCTAACAGAGGCTGGGCATGGTGGCTCACACCTGTAATCCCAGCACTTTGGGAGGCTGAGGCGGGTGGATCACGAGGTCAGGAGTTCAAGACCAGCCTGGCCAACATGGTGAAACCCCATCTCTACTAAAAATACAAAAATTAGCCGTGCATGGAGGCAGGCACCTGTAGTCCCAGCTACTCAGGAGGCTGAGGCAGAAGAACTGCTTGAACCCAGGAGGCGGAGGTTGCAGTGAGCCGAGATCACACCACTGTACCCCAGCCTGGGTGACAGAGTGAGACTCCGTGTCAATAAATAAATAAATAAATAAATAAAAGAGGGGAGATGGGAGCTGGAAGGCGGAGTGAGAAAGGTCTCTGTGGGGGTGTGAGAGGTGGGGGGCAGGTGCTGAGCCAGGACACATAGTACTCACTCTGGAACATTCCAGGGGGGCCCAGATCCCCCAGACCAAAACTGGAAAAGCTCAGAGGCCTGGATAGGACACAAAGAAAAATGGCTGGTCAGTCCCCTGTGGACAGTTGGAGCCCCATCCATCCCCCTTTGCCCCCAAGTCCCACAGTCCCCAACCTGGACCACCTGAGGACCGGTGGGACCCAGTTTGGCCTGCAGGGAAGGCGCGGAGATGAGCTGGGCAGAGGACATGGTCGCCATTGTCTGGAAAGCCTTGTCTTTGGAAACCTGGTCCTAGAGGAGGAGGCGGAAGTTCATGTGAGAGCAGCATCCCAGTCAACATGGCAAGAGGGGGGTGGTGCCAGGGAGGGGCAAAGATGGGGAGGTGCAGAGGTGGGGAGTCAAGGCAAAGGGTTGGTGGCCGGGCATGGTGGCACACGCCTGTAATCCCAGCACTCTGGTAGCCTGAGGCGGACAGATCACTTGAGGTCAGGAGTTCAATATCAGGCTGGCCAACATGGTGAAACCCTGTCTCTACTAAAAATACAAAAATTAGCCAGGTGTGGTGGCGCACACCCATAATCCCAGCTTCTAGGGAAGCTGGGGCACAAGAATCACTGGAACCCAGGAGGCAGAGGTTGCAGTGAGTGGAGATCACACCCCTGCATTCCAGCTTGGGCGACAGAGCAAGACCCTGTCTCCAAAAAAAAGAAAAAATGGAAAATAAAATGGCAAAGGGTTGGGTTGGGGGAGGGTTGAACCTCTCACCACAGCCCTCTGCCCCTCCTCAGGGACGGGGCACTAGTCTGGAGTGAGCGTGGGTGGGAGGATGGACAAGGGGACTTACCACATTCAGGGCCTGCCCGTGGGGGTGGGGGAGGGTGCCAAAGGAGGAAAGAAAACATGACTTAGGAAGTGCGGCCCGGACTCCCCCACCTCCCTGCCCTACCCGCCCACACAGCCCCGCCACCCTGAGCTGAGCAGTGCCAAGGGATGGATGCAGAACAGGAAGTGGAAGTGGCCAGCCCTGGAGGGGAAAAGGGGCTCCCTGCCCAGAAAGACAGTGATGGGGGTTTCTAGAACAAGGAAAGCCAGAAGGTTCCCAGATGTCCAGGACACAGGAAATGAGAATTTCAGAGCCAGCGGGAAGACGAGGTGAATGTTTCCTAATCCAGACAGAACAGACAGGGAACAGAGAAGGTCGAGAACAGACCGGAAGGGAAGGGTTTCAGACCTAGAGAGAAAGAAAGGGAAAGTTGCTGGATACAAAAACAAAAACAAAAACAGGAAGCGACTGTCCCCAAGTCCAGAAAAAGAGACAGAAAAACCCCGCACACCCAGAAGGAGGAGAAAATGAGGGTCTCTGGCCAAGAGGAACCAGGAAATCCAAAGGATGAGGAAAAGGAAATGAATGAGGAATCTCCACCAGGGAATGAAGATTTCTGGGCACAAAGAGTAGGCAGATCACACGAAGGCCAGGAAATAGGAAAACCAACCAGCAGAGATGAAGAGGAGACTTTCACAGCACAAGACTGGGGAAGAAATGAGACCACCAGGAAGAGGGAAAGGAGGGACAGGAGCAGAGGGAAGGGAGGGGGACAGGAACAGTGGTCAAGGGAGGGGACCGATGGCTCATCCTTCCCACTGCCCTGAGCAAAAACCTTCAGCCCTCTCCATGCTATCGCTCCCTGCCCAGGGTCTCAGCAACCACACCACCATCCCTAGGCATCTCCCTTTATGGGCCACTGACTCCCCACCTGGATGACTGCACCCCCCGCCCTGTCCACAGAGGTCCCTCACCTGAGGTCTCTGTCCCCCTCTGTCTCTGGGTCTCTGTCCCTCTTTCTCTGGGTCTCGGTCCCCTCCCCCAAGTCTCTGTCCCCCTCTCCCTGGGTCTCTGTCCCTTTCTCTCTGGCTCTCGGTCCTCCCTCCTCTAAGTCTCTGTCCCCCACCCCCAGTCTCTGTCCCCCTCTCAGGATGTCTGCTTTGGTCCCTACCTTCAACTTGGACTGGATTTCCCTCGATTTCCTTCGGGCCAAAACCTGGATGTGACTAGAAACCTGGAAGGATCAATGGAGAAGCAGATTCAGGCCACAGCCACTGCTCCTGTGTTCACTACCCCTTCTCTCCCTCCAGGTGCCTCACTGAGCTGCTGGAACATGAAGGGTGACAAACACACTGAAGATGAGAGCCGTCTCAGGAGCACCCGAACACAGATGTCCATAAAGAAGCTCTCAAACACCACGGATCCTCCCGGGACCCATCCCATCCAGGTCTCCTTCCCCTCCATCATGCTGTCTGTGGCTCCCCTGGGTCTAACACAACCGCTAGAAAAACTATCCCCAAATAGGCACAGCGAGAGCACATGAACAGATGTGCTGATACAGTTCAGACATTTGTCCCTTCCAGATCTCATGTTGAAATGCCATCTCCAGTGTTGGAGGTGAGGCCTGGTGGGAGGTATTGGATCATGGAGGCGAACGCCTCATGAATAGCTTTGCACCATCTCCTTGATAATGAGTGACTTCTCACTCAGTTCATGCAAGATCCAGTTGTTTAGGCCAGGCGCAGTGGCTCACACCTGTAATCACAACATTTTGGGAGGCCTAGATGGGCGGATTACTGGACGTCAGGAGTTCAAGACCAGCCTGGCCAACACAGTGAAACCCTGTCTCTGCTAAAAATACAAAAATTAGGGCCAGGCACAGTGGCTCACGCCTGTAATCCCAGCACTTTGAGAGGCCAAGGCAGGCGGATCACCTGAGGTCAGGAGTTCAAGACCGGCCTGCCAAACATGGCAATACCCTACCTCTACTAACTAAACATACAAAAAATTAGCCAGGCGTGGTGAGGTGTGCCTGTAATCCCAGGTACTTGGGAGGCTAAAGCAAGAGAATCGCTGGAACCCGGGAGGCGGAGCTTGCAGTGAGCCAAGATCTCGCCACTGCACTCCAGCCTGGGCGACAAGAGCAAAACTCTCTCTCAAAATAAATAAATAAATAAATAAAAATTTGCCAGATGTGGAGGCACGTGCTTGTAATCCCAGATACTTGGGAGGCTGAGGCAGGAGACTCACTTGAACCCAGAAGGCGGAGGCTGCAGTGAGCTGAGATCATGGAACTGTACTCCAGCTTGGGAGACAGTGAGACTTTTGTCTCAAAAACAACAAAAACTGGCCAGGTGCAGTGGCCCACGACTGTAATTCCAGCACTTTGGGAGGCCAAGGCAGGTGGATCACCTGAGGTCAGGAGTTCGAAACCAGTCTGACCAACATGGTGAAACCCCATCTCTACTAAAAATACAAAAAGTAGCTGGGCATGGTGGCACGGGCCTGTAATCCCAGCTATTCAGGAGGCTGAGGCAGGAGATTCGCTTGATCTCGGGAAGGGGAGGTTGCAGTGAGCCGAGATCGTGCCACTGCACTCTAGCCTGGGCAACAGAGCGAGACCCCATCTCCAAAGAAAAAAACAACAAAAAGATCTGGGTGTTTAAAAAGAGTCTGGGACCTTTGTCTTTCTTCTCTTGCTCCCACTCTCCATGTGCCAGGCCTGCTCCCACTACCCTTTCCTCCATGACTGGAGGCTTCCTGAGGCCTCACCAGGAGCAGATGCCAGCTCCATGCTTCCTGGACAGCCTGCATAACTGTGAGCCAAAATAAAGCCTTTTATTTCTTTCTTTCTTTCTTTTTTTTTTTTTTGAGGCGGAGTCTCGCTCTGTCGCCAGGCTGGAGTGCAGTGGCACGATCTCGGCTCACTGCAACCTCCACCTCTCGGGTTCAAGCGATTCTCCTGCCTCAGTCTCCCGAGTAGCTGGGATTACAGGCACACATTGCCACTCCCAGCTAACTTTTGTAGTTTTAGTAGAGCTGGGTTTCACCATGTTGGTCAGGATGGTCTCGATCTCCTGACCTCCTGATCCACTCACCTAAAGTGCTGGGATTACAGGCATGAGCCACTGGCCCATGCCTGTAAAATAGCTTTAGCTCTTTTCTTTATCAATTATCCAGTCTTGCCAGGTGCGGTAGCTCATGCCTGTAATCCCAGCAATCCCAGCACTTTGGGAGGCCGAGGTGAGTGGATCACCTGAGGTCAGAAGTTCGAGACCAGCCTGGACAACATGGTGAAACTCCATCTCTACTAAAAATACAAAATTACCCAGGCGTGGTAGTGCATGCCTGTAATCCCTGCTACTCAGGAGGCTGAGATAGGAGAATTGGTTGAACCCAGGAGGCAGAGGTTGCAGTGAGCCAAGATCGGGCCACTGCACTCCAGCCTGGGCAACAGAGCTAGACTCCATTTCAAAAAATAAACAAATAAAAAGATAACCCAGCCTTGGGTAATTCTTTACAGCAACACAAACGGACTAACACACACGCCGAGAAGACAGATGAACACACAGGAAGCAGCTTCTTCCTTGAACCTGAACCTGGCCATATGAGGATGACCCTGAGAAGACCAGCCCATCCCAGACAGAAGCCCACAAGTCCGTTCCGAGACCTGTTTTCGAGTTCGGGTCTTCCCTGTTCTCAGCTTGATGTAGCGGGCGATCAGTTCATTCCGACCTGAAGATTCAAAGATGGAATAGAGTTAATTAGACTTTCAGCAGAACTTCCCCATGGCAGGGACACCAGGAAAGAAGAAAGCAGCAAGAGTCCCCAAAGGTCTGCAGCAACTGGGCTGCCAGTTCCCTCAGCTACATGGAAGCCAGACTGCTTGGGTTCAAATCTCAGCTCATCTGAACCAGCTCTGTGCAACTATAAGCAAATCACTTAACCCAGCTGTGCCTCAGTTTCCTCATCTGTGCAAATGGTGATACTAGCTCCTACTTCTGAGTGCTCCATAAACCTTGGTTACTGTCATTATTCATCAGTGGGGGCCAGGGCAAAAGACAGAAGTAGACTCACCATACATCTTGCCTTCATCGGACAAAATAATTTTCCGGCGGCCGCAGGGTGGATAGATGGCCAGGGCCTCCTGGAAGCTCTGCTCAATGTCTGGGCTCCACACCCCCTCTGCATCCGGGCCCCCGTCACCCCCAGCCCCCTCACTGCCGCCGGTACCCTCCTCACTGCCTTCCTCACTGCCCGTCCAGCCGCTGCCATCGTCCAGGGCGGCCCCAGCCCGGGGTTCCCCCATCTGGGCCTGGAGGAACACAGAACTCAGCAAGCTTCCCCCAAACCCCACCCTCAAGGGACCTGAAGCTGAGAGGGCTGGGACTCTGGACCACTGGGTCTGAGGGAGGAGGGGCCGGGGCCTGGTCTCCTGGGTCTGAGGGAGGAGGGGGCTGGGGACCTGGACTCCTGGGCCTGAGGGAGGAGGGGCTGGGGACTTGGACTCCTGGGCCTGAGGGAGGAGGAGCTGGGGGGGACTCCTGGGTCTGAGGGAGGAGGGACTGGGGCCTGGCCTCCTGAGACTGAGGGAGGAGGATCTGGGGCCTGGACTCCTGGGTCTGAGGGAGCGGGGGCTGGAGGCCTGGACTCCTGGGTGTGAGGGAGGAGGGGCTGGGGCCTGGACTCCTGAGTCTGAGGGAGGAGAAGGAGCTGGGTTTCTGGGAAAGCTGAGGATGGGAGTGTTCTCAGAGTTTCCAGAGGAACTCAATTATGATGAAGTCACAATGATTACCCCAGAGTGATTACCCCAGAGTAATGCCGAGGGCCATGAGGGCTAAAGGTTCGGGTATGAATTATGGGTTTTAAAGAAGACAGGAGGCAAAAGCTAGTGGTGGGGAAGGAAGGTGTGGGTGAAACTTTCCCAGTCCCACCCCAAGAACAGGTGCTAGGATGTGAGCAGCAGCTGCCAGAAAAGAAGAGGGGCCAAATAAGACTGAGGGGAGGTCCAGAGAGACGGGAACAGAGACTCAGAGAGAAAAGGGGACAGAGACCCAGTGAGGTGGGGGACAGAGACCAGCAAGGGGGGGGACAGAGACCCAGAGAGAGAGGGGGACAGAGACTAGAGAGAGGGGGACAGAGACCCAATGGGGGGAGACAGAGACCAGAGGGAGGGGGGACAGAGACTGGGGGGGACAGAGACCCAGAGAGAGGGACAGAGACCCAGGGAGAGGGAGAGACAGAGACTAGAGAGAAGGGGACAGAGACCAGGGAGGGGGGGACAGGGACCAGAGAGAGGGGGCCAGGGACACAGAGAGAGAGGGACACAGAGACCCAGAGAGAGAGGGACAGAGACCCAGAGAGAGAGGGGGCCAGAGCCCCAGAGAGAGGGCAACAGAGACCCAGAAAGAGGGAGACGGAGACCTAGAGAAGGTAGGGACAGAGACTCAGGGCAGCAGCTGAGGCCGAGACCAGGAGAGACACACAGAACCACAGGCTGGGGGACTGGGGCGCCCTGCCATCAGGAGAGCCAGAACAAAGGGCCCAGGCGTCCCCTCCCCCAGCTTCCCACAACCCCCATCAGGGGAGGGGCTTGCCGGCCAGGGCGACTCCCCTCCGGCACCGGGCCCCGCCCCTCCCCTCCCCCGTGCGCCGTGGGCTCTGATCCAACTCAAGTTCCCAGCGACTTTCCGGAGGCCGGGAACAGGGAAAACTTTTTCCAATACAGTCAGATCCCGCCTCCCCGGAGGCTTCATATCCTCCACAGCTTTCCCAGGACCCCAGAGTCCAGGCCCCTATTCCCCTCCTCCCGCGGACCCTAGTAGACAAAGACCCCGGGTCAAGCCCAGTGGCGCTGCGGCGTTCAGGACCCCCGTAGGCCAAAATCCCAGCCCAGCCCTCCCCCATGTGGCCAGACAAAGGGACGGTGGAGCCGGGTAAGAAAGGTCCCCCTAATTTCCCGCCCCAGACCCTAAACCTCCAAAGAGGCAAGGCTTAAGATCCAGAAAGCCCCGTAACCTCACCTCGGCCACCCCAGAGGCCCTCCCTTCTCCGTAAGAAGGACCAAATGCCCCCCAGATTACACACGGGGTCCTTCTCACTCCAAAGTGACACCGCCGCAGACACTCGCACGCCCCACACCCCGCCAGCGCCCTTGGCCCGCACCCACTACTGCGCGTACGCCCAAACTCAGACCCAGCCGCAGGCACCCTAACTCCGCCAGAGTTCCCACTCCTCACTGAGGCTCGGTCACGGGCGCAAATTCGGGCCCCCGGGCAAAAGAAGACTGCGAACCATTCAGAGACGGTCCCGCAAACGCACGCCTCACCTCCTAACCAGCAACTCCCCACCCCAACTCACACACCCCAAAGCAGGATCCCCGACTCCCGCCGGCGCCTTCCTACCTCCCGGCCTGGGGCTGGGGAGCCGCGGGCGGGCGGGGCGCTGCGAGGGAGAAAGTTGCCGGGAGCTTTGTTTGGGAAAAGTGGGAGGGACCGGAGGGGGGGCGGGCCCGGCCGGCGGACAGCGGGAAGGGGGATCCGACGGTGACAGTTTGGGGGAGGATTTTTGCTTTGGGAGAGATTAGCCTATCTCGGGGCTGGTAGGAACTCAGGATTTGGATGCTTGAGAAAGGAGGGGGTTTGGGGGTTCGGACTCCAGGTCAGAGGGAAAAGGCTGATAGGAGCCAGGAACCCCTGGTCTGAGGGAGGACAGGCTGGGTGCTGGGACTCCTGGATCTGGGAGAGGAAGGGGCTGGAGATATGAGTTCCTAGGTCTGAGAGGGGACGGGGCTGGGTACCTGGAATCCCGGCTACCCTCTAGTGTTTGCGTATTGGGGGTGTGGAAGTGATACGAATACAAAGAATCTTTACTGTTCGGCCCTAAGGGTTTTTTGTGTGTGTGGTGTTGTTGTTGTTTTGAGGATTGGGGTCTGGGGATGAGTTTTGACTGATTCCTATGACAACATGGTTTCCTTGTAACCTCACCACAGTTAAGAGTTGAGGGTAGGACCACCGGGAGTTTATTGGAGGCCCACGTAGGTGCAGATTCCTCATCTACAGGCTCTAGTGGACTGGAGACGGCTGGCGGCTGTCCCAGGACGGGGAAGAGCGCTTTGGTGCCTGAGAGAAGATGACTTAGGGCCCGGTCCCTTAAGAGTGAAGGGCTGGGTGTTCAAAATTACGGGACTAGAGGGGGCTGGAGTCTGGACCTGAGGTCCTCATGGAAAAGGGAAGTCTGATTCCGGGTTCCTTGGCAGATGAAATATACGGCTGGATTTAGGGTTTCCGAAGAGAACGGGACTTTTTAGTGGAACTGGAGCGGGAAAACCAGAAGGGACACGGAGAAAAGGTTCCGAGACAGATACACAATTAGAGTGAGAACTAAAAGGGCTGCTTGTACTCCGGTGTCTCCAGTAAGAGGAGCCTAGGACTGGAACTCGGGGTGCTGAGGGCAAGATCTGGGACGCAGGGGAGTGGCCCAGTGCAGAGGCGTGGCTTTCAGCCAAGAGGCGTGGCCATCTGAGATAGGGCGGGACTCCGAAACGAGGGCCGCAGAGAACACCTCCAGGACTTGGTCTCCAGGACTGAGGTCAACTGACAGGGGCGTGGTCTGGCGGCGTGGGCGTGGCCAGGGAATGAACTCACGGCTCTGGCTTAAGAGGTGTGGTGAACGAAGGATGGGGCGTGGCTCTGTCACCAAGGGCGTGGTCATGGAATAGAGGCCGGGGCTCCTGGGTGAGGCCGGCAAGTTTGGAGCGTGGTCAGACAATAGGGGCGTGGCTACGGCTCGCGTAGCGCAACCAACGCTCTGGACCAGACCTGGGCTCGAGACCATAACTGTTCGGGTTTAACAGTCCGTGGGCGGCCGGAATCCGGGAGTCCGGTGACCGGGCTGTGGTCTAGCATAAAGACGGAGCCCAGAAGAAGGGGCGGGGTATGGGAGAAGGTGAGGATTGAGATCTGGTCGTGAATGTGGGCGAAAGTGAGCAAAAGACCATTGGATGAGGCCGGGTGCTGTGGCTTACGCCTGTAATCCCAACACTTTGGGAGGCCCAGGTGGTCGGATCACTTAAGGAATTCGAGACCAGCCTGGGCAATGTGTCGAAACCCCGTCTCTACAAAAAATACAAAAATTAGCCGGGCGTGGTGGTGCGCGCCTGTGGTCCCAGCTACTTCGGGGGGCTGAGGTGGGAGAATCACCTGAGCCCGGGGAAGTCGAGGCTGCAGTGAGCCGTGATTGTGCCACTGTACTCCAGCCTGGACGACAGAGTCTCGGTCTCAAAAAAAAAAAAGTATATGAGACAGAACCCAGAAGAGCCGGACCTGGGAGAAGAGGGGGCCTGGTAGGGTGGAGGGTGTAGGAGTAGAAGAAAGAAGCAGTGGGGGAAATGAGCACGGTGTGAGAGTTGCCTGAACTGGGGAGGCGGCCTGGGCAAGGTGCTGGAGAGGGGCGTCTTGGGTGGGGGCGTGGCCACTGCGCGGGGCTCTGACCCCGACCCTTGCCACAGCCTCCCCGTCTGCCCCCACAATGCGGCATCGGCTGGTCCTGCTGCTGCTCCTCTCTGCCCTGGTGACCCCCTCCACTGCAGCCCCTATCCACGATGCTGATGCCCAAGAGAGCTCCTTGGGTCTTACAGGCCTCCAGAGCCTACTCCAAGGCTTCAGCCGACTTTTCCTGAAAGTAAGTGATAGCGGAGGGATGGGGAAAGAAGTACTGAGAAGAGGTTCAGGGACACAGAGTGGGAGATGGTTCGGGGCCAGGCAGGGGGACAGGCAGGATGAGAGTCAAAGGGACAGAGAGAGAGGGCAACAGGGAGACCAAGAGATAGGAAGAGGGAAGGGGCTGGGCCCAGGCTATAATCGCAGCACTTTGGGAGGCTGAGGCAGAAGGATCATTTGAGCCCAGTAGTTGGAGACCAGTCTGGGCAACATAGTGAGACCCTCATCTGTACAAAAAAATATGAAAAATAGTTGCAGGTGCATGCGCCTGTAATCCCAGTTGCTTGGAAGGCTGAGGCAGAAGGATCCCTTGAGCCCAGGAGGTCGAGGCTGCAGTAAGCCATGATCGCACCACTGCACTCTAGCCTGGATGACATAACAGGGAGACCCTGTCTCTAAATAAATAAAGATATACGTGCATAAATAAGAGAGGAAAGGTAACAGGCAAAGAGAGAGGGAGATGGGACAGAGACAAAAGACTGGGGAAAGAGACAGGAGGAGAGGGGGATGGGGACAGAAGAGGAACAGGGATAGTAAGGCAATGGGACTGAGAATAGAGACAGAATTGATGGGAGATGGAGGCCAGAGGTTAGGCCCTAAGTATCAGAGGGCAGAAAGTAAAGGGGATGAGAGGGACTTGGGGCCAGGACTCGGGAGCATCCTAGCAGGGCTGCAGAAGGGGCTGTACTGGGGAGATGTGAGGTCCAGCAGCTCACCAGTCCCTCCTCCGGCCCCAGGGTAACCTGCTTCGGGGCATAGACAGTTTCTTCTCTGCCCCCATGGACTTCCGGGGCCTCCCTAGGAACTACCACAAAGAGGAGAACCAGGAGCACCAGCTGGGAAACAACACCCTCTCCAGTCACCTCCAGATCGACAAGGTGCCTATGCAGGGAAGCCCTTCCTGGAGTCCCCTTGGGATCCCTCCATCCCTCCATCCCTTGTGCTGCAGTATCTGTTGGGAGGGAAGGAGGGCAGAGGAGGAAAGCAGGTTTGCTCTCACTCTCTCATCGGATCCTCACAGATGACCGACAACAAGACAGGAGAGGTGCTGATTTCCGAGAATATGGTGGCATCCATCCAACCAGCAGAGGGGAGCTTCGAGGGTGACTTGAAGGTTAGGACATGCCCCGCCGTCAAAGTGTCAGGCCCAAACATTTTCTTTTTTTTGTTTGTTTTTTTGTTTTTGAGACGGAGTCTTGCTCTGTCGCCTGGGCTGGAGTGCAGTGGCCAGATCTCAGCTCACTGCAAGCTCCGCCTCCCAGGTTCACGCCATTCTCCTGCCTCAGCCTCCCGAGTAGCTGGGACTACAGGCGCCCGCCACCTCGCCTGGCTAGTTTTTTGTATTTTTTAGTAGAGACAGGGTTTCACCGTGTTAGCCAGGATGGTCTCGATCTCCTGACCTCATGATCCGCCCGTCTCGGCCTCCCAAAGTGCTGGGATTACAGGCTTGAGCCACCGCGCCCGGCCTTTTTTTTCTTTTTTAAAGCAGAGTCTCACTCTATTGCCCAGGCTGGAGTGCAGTGGCGTGATCTCAGCTCACTGCAACCTCCGCCTCCCGAGTTCAAGTAATTCTCCTGCCTCAAACTCCCTAGTAGCTGGAATTACAGGTGCCCGCCACCATGCCTGGCTAATTTTTAGTATTTTTTTAGTAGAAATAGGGTTTCTGCATGTTGGTCAGGCTGGTCTCAAACTCCTGACCTCAAGTGATCTGCCCACCTTGGCCTTCCAAAGTGCTGGGATTACAGGCATAAGCCACCATGCCTGGCGAGGCCCTAACATTTTCTGTAGTTTAGGAGGACAAGAAGAACTGACCCTCCTACTCCTCCATGTGGAACTTCCTCCTTCTGAGCCTGTTTTGCCGTCTCTCAAGTTGGGCAATCCAACTGTCAGAAATGAGATTTTTCGACCTCAGAATACATCCCCAAGGGTTTGGTAGACCGTAGAGGGCTTTGTGAGTGTCAAAGTGGTTTTCTTTTTTTTTTTTTTTAACTACATAATAGTCAATCAAAGTGTTTCTATGAGCACCAAAATGTCTTATAAACCAAGAAGGGTTTTTAATTCTAAGTGCTTGGAAAGCTTCACCCTCATACACCCCAAAGTGTGTTTTTTGTTTGTTTGTTTGTTTGTTTTGAGACGGAGTTTGGCTCTGTTGCCCAGGCTGGAGTGCAGTGGCCGGATCTCAGCTCACTGCAAGCACCGCCTCCCGAGTTCACGCCATTCTCTTGCCTCAGCCTCCCGAGTAGCTGGGAGTATAGGCGCCCGCCACCTCGCCCGGCTAATTTTTTTTTTTTTTTTGTATTTTAGTAGAGACGAGGTTTCACCGTGTTAGCCAGGATGGTCTCGATCTCCTGACCTCGTGATCCGCCCATCTCGGCCTCCCAAAGTGCTGGGATTACAGGCTTGAGCCACCGCGCCCGGCCCAAAGTGTGTTTTTGTCTCAAAGTAAGTGCTCTGCAAACTTCAGAGTATTTTTCAATCTATCCCAAAGTGGTTGGTAAACGTCTCCGTTATAAACTCCAAAATGTTTTTTGTTATTTTGTTTTGTTTTTTGAGAATGGAGTCTTGCTGTGTCACCCATGCTGGAGTGCAGTGGCACAATCTCAGCTCACTGCAACCTCCACCTCCCAGATTAAAATGATCCTCCCACCTCAGCCTCCTGAATAGCTGGGACTACAGGCACAGACCACCACACCCAGCTAATTTTTGTATTTTTAGTAGAGACAGGGTTTCCCCATGTTTCCCAGGCTGGTCTCAAACTCCTGAGCTCAGGCAATCCGCCCACCTCTGCCTCCCAAAGTGCTAGGATTACAGGCATGAGCCACCACACCCAGCCCAAAATGTGATTTTTTTTTTTTTTTTTTTTTTTTGAGATGGAGTTTCACCCTGTCACCCAGGCTACAGTGCAATGGCACAATCTCAGCTCACTGCAACCTCTGCCACTGAGGTTCAAGTGATTCTCCAGACTTAGCCTCCCAAGTAGCTGGGACTACAAGTACACACCACCGCGTCTGGCTAATTTTTGTATTTTTAGTGTAGACGGGGTTTCACCATGTTGACCAGGCTGGTCTTGAACTCCTGACCTCAGGTGATCTTCCTGCCTCAGCCTCCCAAAGTTCTGTGATTATAGGCATGAGTCACTGCGCCTGGCCCAATATGTCATTTTTAATACTGAAGAGCTTTATGAATGCTAAATGCTTTGTGTATTTCACCTTTGGTAAACTTTTCTTTTTTTCTTTTTTGGAGACGAAGTCTCACTCTTGTCCCCCAGGCTGGAGTGCAATGGCGCAATCTTGGCTCACTACAACCTCCACCTCCCAGGTTCAAGCGATTCTCCTGCCTCAGCCTCTTGTGTAGCTGGGATCACAGGCACCTGCCACCACGCCTAACTTTTCTATTTTTAGAGAGACAGGGTTTCATCATGCTGGCCAGGCTGGTCTCGAACTCCTGATCTCAGGTGATCCAACTGCGTCGGCCTCCCAAGGTGCTGGGATTACAAGTGTGAGCCACCATGCCCGGCCACCTTTGGTAAACTTCTACAAGTGACTGTAATCATGAAGTGCTTTGCAAAATCAGGGTATTTTTAATCCTGAAAAGTTTTAAGAAACCCAAAGAGCTTGATAAATCCATATGATACCCATGTACACCCATGCAGTATCTTCATTTTTAAAATGTTTATTTAAAATTTTATTTTAGGCCGGGCGCGGTGGCTCAAGCCTGTAATCCCAGCGCTTTGGGAGGCCGAGACGGGCGGATCACGAGGTCAGGAGATCAAGACCATCCTGGCTAACCCGGTGAAACACCGTCTCTAGTAAAAAATACAAAAAAATAGCCGGGCGAGGTGGCGAGCGTCTGTAGTCCCAGCTACTCGGGAGGCTGAGGCAGGAGAATGGCGTAAACCCGGGAGGCGGAGCTTGCAGTGAGCTGAGATCCGGCCACTGCACTCCAGCCTGGGCGACAGAGCGAGACTCCGTCTCAAAAAAAAAAAAAAAAAAAAAAAAATTTTATTTTAAAAATTTCAGGCCAGGCGCAGTGGTTTACACCTGTAATCCCAGAACTTTGGGAGGCTGAGGCAGAAGGATGACTTGAGCCCAGGAGTTTGAGATCACCCTGGGCAACACAGCAAGTCCTCATCTCTACAAAAAAATTTAAAGTAGGCCAGGCACTCTGGCTCATGCCTGTAATCCTAGCACTGGGAAGCTGAGGCAGGCAGATTGCCTGAGCTCAGGAGTTCGAGAACAGCCTGGGCAACACGGTGAAACCCTGTCTCTACTAAAATACGAAAAATTAGCCGGGCATGGTGGCCTGCACCTGTAGTCCCAGCTACTCTGAAGGCTGAAGCAGAAGAATTTCTTGAACCCGGGAGGCAGAGGTTGCAGTGAGCCAAGATCATGCCACTGCACTCCAGCCTGGGGGACAGAGTAAGATTCTGTCTCCAAAAAAAAAAATCAAAAAAGCAGCCAGGTGTGGTGGTGCATGCTGTGGTTCCAGCTACCCAGGAGCCTGAGGTGGGAGGATTGCTTGAGACCAGGAGGTTGAGGCTAAAGTGGGCCCAGATCATGCCACTGCACTCTAGCCTGGGCAACAGAGTGAGACTCTGTCTCAATCAATCAATCAATTTCAATAAAATTTCAAGCCTACAGAAAAGTTTTTTTTTTTTAAACATATTTTATTATTTTGGAAACGAGTCACCCTGTGTCACCCAGGCTGGAATGTAGTGGTGCCATCTTGGCTCACAGCAACCTCCACCTTCCAGGTTGTGGAAAGTAAAAAGTTTCTCTGTAAAGTTTTTTTTTTTTATTAAATAATAAATCATAAGGGTTAGAGATAATAGTTTTTTTTTAAACTAACAATCTAGTTTTTGGTGTTTGCTTTTTTTTGAGGCGGAGTCTCACTCTGTTGCCCAGGCTGGAGTGCAGTGGCCAGATCTCGGCTCACGGCAAGCTCCGCCTCCCGGGTTTACGCCATTCTCCTGCCTCAGCCTCCCGAGTAGCTGGGACTACAGGCGCCCGCCACCTCGCCCGGCTAGTTTTTTGTATTTTTTAGTAGAGATGGGGTTTCACTGTGTTAGCCAGGATGGTCTCGATCTCCTGACCTCGTGATCCGCCCGTCTCGGCCTCCCAAAGTGCTGGGATTACAGGCTTGAGCCACCGCGCCCGGCCTAAACTAACTTTTTTTAAGCCTCTTTGCTTTGTGTTAATAACGCTTTCTTAAACTGTATCTTATGTAGTTGTTAGATATAAGGAAATAAGTACATTCTGTGTCCTTGTACTTTTTTTTTTTTTTTTTTTTTGAGACAGAGTCTCGCTTTGTCCCCCAGGCTGGAGTGCAGTGGCGCCATCTCGGCTTACTGCAAGCTCTGCCTCCCAGGTTCACACCATTCTGCCTCAGTCTCCCTAGTAGTTGGGACTACAGGCGTCTGCCACCACGCCCGGCTAATTTTTTTTTTTTGGAATTTTAGTAGGGACGGGGTTTCACCTTGTTAGCCAGCATGGTCTCGATCTCCTGACCTTGTGATCTGCCCGCCTCAGCCTCCCAGAGTGCTGGGATTACAGGTGTGAGCCACTGCGCCCAGCCTGTGTCCTTGTACTTTAACCAAGATATTTGGTCTCGACATGCTCAAGCATGTCCCGGCTCACAGCTTATGCCCCTTCCTCATTAGGAAATGTTATTACTTCTCTAAGTCTTTTCGCAAGCAACTTCCTCTTTTCCTTTGCTTTCCATTGCCTTTACTTATTTAAGAAAGTTTTTTAAGTTGTTAGCCAATTGGGTTTAGCTTAGACTGTGAGATCCAGCTCCAACCAATGGAGACAGGACATAGCAGTAAGGACCCAACACATAAGGGACAAATATTCCTGCCTTTCTTTGTTCATTGTGCTCTTGCGGCGGGATTGCTGATGGGCAGCACCCTTTCTGCAGAAAGTAAAATTGCCTTGCTGAGAAAACTTTTTGCCTGAATGCTGATTTTCTCATTCAGCATGTTAGAATTTCTTGAATTCTAACACAGATTCAAGCAATTCTCCTGCCCCAACCTCCCAAGGAGCAAGGATAACAGGCATGCACTACAACATCCGGCTAATGTGTCTTTTGTTTGTTTGCTTTTTGTATTTTTAGTAG